ATATAGATAGATAGATAGATAGATAGATAGGCAGATAGATAGATAGATAGATAGATAGATAGATAGATAGGCAGATAGATAGATAGACGGACGGACGGACGGACAGATAGATAGACAGACAGACAGTTAGATAGATAGATAATAGACATACAGATATATAGACAGATAGATAGACGGACGGACATATAGATAGATAGATAGATAGACAAACAGACAGACAGACAGATAGATAGATAGATAGACAGATAGATAGATAGACAGATAGATATATAGATAGATAGATAGATAGATAGATAGGCAGATAGATAGATAGATAGATAGATAGATAGATAGATAGGCAGATAGATAGATAGACGGACGGACGGACGGACAGATAGATAGACAGACAGACAGTTAGATAGATAGATAATAGACATACAGATATATAGACAGATAGATAGACGGACGGACATATAGATAGATAGATAGATAGACAAACAGACAGACAGACAGATAGATAGATAGATAGACAGATAGATAGATAGACAGATAGATATATAGATAGATAGATAGATAGATAGATAGATAGGCAGATAGATAGATAGATAGATAGATAGATAGATAGATAGATAGGCAGATAGATAGATAGATAGATAGATAGATAGACAGACAGACATACATAGATAGATATAGATATAGATAGATAGATATTGATAGATAGACAGACAGACAGATAGATAAATAGATAGATAGATGTGTCCCATCTCACTCTTTTCTCCCCCCAACTTTACTCTCCATCCCCCGCCACAGCTCAGAGCTTGACTCCTCAAGCTCCTGAGCGACACCCCCCAGGGAAAAGATTGCCTTCTGGAGGCCCTCCTGAAAACCCAACAATAGAAAGTCCAAGCCCACTTCGGAGAGATGGACCCCATCGCACCTATAATAACCTGGAAGCATGTCCTCCAACTCCCTGTGCCGAATTACAACCCCTCACAACCGCTTCACATATGCTGCCACCACCAGTGAAATCTAGGAACCATTTCCGACCATACGACCATAACCCCCGGCACCAACTCCCTCAGCTTGTCCACATCCCTCTTCATACACTCAATCAATACCTTTTGAGGTAACAACCCCACATCATTGCCCCCTGCGTGAAGCACCACTATGTCCGGAACCTGTCCCAAATGAATTTTGTGAAACATTTCAACACAAATTGCATTCTAACCCCAACCCCGGTAACCAAACCACTGAAGCTGAACCACGGAACTTGGAAAGCCCAGCTGTAGACCACGATGTCGAACTGCAGCTCTCCGATGCACTCAGTATATGTATGAGTGGCCGACCACCCATGCCATCTGACCTGTAAGACATAATGCAAACATAGACAACCACGAAACAACCGTGAAACCAAAATTCCCTGTCAACCACCCTTAGGATTTTATACCAACTTTTCCAGCCTGACGTAAGATCTGAACCTCACCGACTCCCACCTGCCAATCTTCTTCACCCGCTCATCCCCCAAGCCCAGTCTTGCCGCTTCAGTAGCCGCGCCAATCCCAAAGGAATGAGTCCCGAATTGGCCCGGGTCCACTCCCAACCTTGCCAACACCTTCCGAAAAACTCTGAGGAACTGGAACTTCGATAGCGAAGAGCAGTCCTCATGCTTAAAATATGAACCCCCGGCCTTCGACCGCTCCTCCTGGAAGGCCACTGCGCACCTAACTGGACACGGTTTCCCACCCGGGAGCTCCCACAATGTAACCAACGTCCCTTTTCTCAGTACATCCGTTTTGGAACGCCTCAAGTTGATCACTACCCTGTTACCCCACACCTCCACATCCACCGCCTAAAGCACCCCGGCCCATTGGCGATTGCTGCTGACCAGCTCGCTGACACGAAATGCCCCGAAAAAAGCAAAACTAAAAACCATGGAGAACAGTGTAACCTCGTACAAAAAATATATATGAATACCGCACTCAATGTTGTAAAATAATCAACCGTAGGTACAGAAGTGCTATAATTGAGTTTATTATGTTCAATTCTTAAATGTATAGTTATATAACTTAATATGTGAGATTATGATTTGATCAAAAGAATATATTACATCATATAGTCAATCGCTATTTACACAAATAACCTCCATAGGTGTTATATAAATAAATAATTAATGTATAAACACAGTTGTAAGTATTTCTGTTTGCAAAACTAAGGAGAACCTATCCATATGGATAATAGTCGAATCTGTGGTGTTCTATGTACATAGAAAAAAGAAAAAAGAAAAAAGAGAAAAAAGAAGAAAAACTGAAAAAAATTTACAAAAATGATGAAAAAATTTAAAAAATATGTAAAAAATATACAGATAATAAATGTCCTGATGTACAATAGTCCAGAGAATAGTGCACTTTTAGATAATAAATAGGTGGATCTCACCAAGTTGGATATCCAGATGGATTGTAGCCTTAGTAGCAACTGGAAAAAATGAAGACTCTGTGAAGAATGGAAAAGTGTCTATTGGAGGGTTTTTAAACCTGCTGAATTCCTGCTGTGCGTTGAAAAGAGGACTCAATGAAGGTGTCAGATGTGATCCTCGTATGTCTCCCTCAAGGTGTCGTCACAGTACTTGGGCCCAGATACAATCCATCTGGATATCCAACTTGGTGAGATCCACCTATTTATTATCTAAAAGTGCACTATTCTCTGGACTATTGTACATCAGGACATTTATTATCTGTATATTTTTTACATATTTTTTCAATTTTTTCATCATTTTTGTAAATTTTTTTCAGTTTTTCTTCTTTTTTCTCTTTTTTTCTTTTTTCTTTTTTCTATGTACATAGAACACCACAGATTCGACTATTATCCATATGGATAGGTTCTCCTTAGTTTTGCAAACAGAAATACTTACAACTGTGTTTATACATTAATTATTTATTTATATAACACCTATGGAGGTTATTTGTGTAAATAGCGATTGACTATATGATGTAATATATTCTTTTGATCAAATCATAATCTCACATATTAAGTTATATAACTATACATTTAAGAATTGAACATAATAAACTCAATTATAGCACTTCTGTACCTACGGTTGATTATTTTACAACATTGAGTGCGGTATTCATATATATTTTTTGTATGATATTTTTGGGGCTTTTGTAGGGATAACCTCGAATACCAGCACCACCTATGTGATTGAGTGCCAGCATAAATTATCTTTTTGAGTGTAACCTCGTACCCCGAAAAACACACCTCGGGCAGCACCCGGACCACCCGCTGAAGCAACTCGAACGACACCGGCCTCCTGGAATCCACCGACACCTTACCCCGCCTGAAACCTTTCAATGCCTGCCTAACGAGAAAATGTTTCGTGACATCCTCCCATCCATTAAACTTGAACAAAAAGGCTAACCATGCTAACTATACTAACACCGGGACCCACCACCGGGGCAACCCGTGGCCCAGCAACTGTAGTGGGAGTGGAGTAAGAGGTCAACTCACCTGGACAATGAGCCGTAGCTGTCCCAGCTCCACCAACAGCACTTCCAGCATTCCCAGGACCTGCTGCCAAGCCTGCCGTACCGCACCTCCTTTTTCCGCTGGACCCTGCCTGTAATGACTGCTTTCCTGGATTCCTGTCACCAGACACGTCTCCTTCATTCCCTGTAATAGAGGACACAAAACTGAACGTTCTGCATTTTTTTTGCCTCCTCGTTCGGCAGTCGAATGGCCGGCAGTATGGCTACCTCCCCGTTCAACTCACGAACGTTCGGCGGTTTTTTTACCTCCCCGTTCCGGAAATGAATGGCCGGCAGTATCGCCCCCGTAACATTCGGCAGTTTCGGATTCGGTTCCCGAACCAGCAGCCTGCAACTCCAGCCTCGCCTGACGACGTGTTCGTGCAGGCTGCACTGCGACGCCTCCCGCAACCTCCTCCACTTGCAGCCTTCCCGCCGGTAGTCTCACCACCGCCATCGGGACCTCCAGAAGGGCTCCTTGGATGCCGGGAATCCGGAACCGCGCTGGGGCTCAATCTCTGTGGGGGCCTTGTCCTCCTGACCGGCCTCTGACCCAGGGAGCCTTCTGATCCGGATGGCAAAGTAGAGCCTCCAAGGCGATCCCTCAGCCACTGCGGCCCGGACTCCTTCCAGCCAATCTTCCATCTTGCTGACAACCTGCAGAGGAGACAAAAGAAAAAGCCAAACAAATCCTGCCACAACAACAGGTAAGTGCAACTTAGATTAAAGTGATCCCTAGATCTAAAATGGCCACTACTTATACTCCTCTTATAACTCCACCCCACTCCATTTCTTTAAGCCAATCCCTAACCACTGACCCTTAGATGCCTGTCTCCTGGCAATGTCAAGGCCCACTCCCCCTCCATGGGCTTCATTCAGCAAATGACATTGGAAGAGGTAGGAGAGTGTTTAACCCCTTCCTCCCCTAGAGCCCGACGGGAGGGGGACCCTGAGGGTGGGGGGGACCTAAAGACCCTATAGTGCCAGGAAAGTGAGTTTGTTTCCCTGGCACTATAGTGGTCCTTTAAGTTCACTAAGTTTCTGTGTATCCTGCTCCATAGAAGATATGTTCCCTCTTAAAGGCACATACACCATTATACTTAGAGCCAGGTACAATCAGCTCTTAAAGGGAAACTCCAGTGCCAGGAAAACAATCCCCTCTCCCTCCCACCTCCCAATCCCCGATTGCTGAAGGGGTGAAAACCCCTTCAGTCACTTATGAGAGGCAGCAACATGTCCCACGTCGCTGCTTCTTCCTCCACCGCCACTCCTCCTTTGCATTACGTCTGCCGGTAGGCGAGACTGATCCCGCCCACCGGCCAGGGAGACCTAATGCGCATGCGCGGCAATGCCGCTCATGCGCATTAGAGCTCCCCATAGGAAAGCATTGAAAATGCTTTTTACTGCTTTCCTATGGTTAATTGAGAGACGTTGGAGGTCCTCACACAGCGTGAGGACATCCAGCGATGCTCTAGCACAGGTTTTCTGTGCTATGATGCAGGAAGTGCCCTCTAGTGGCTGTCTAGTAGACAGCCACTAGAGGTGGAGTTAACCCTGCAATGTAATTATTGCAGTTTATAAAAAAACTGCAGTAATTACACTTGCAGGGTTAAGAGTAGTGGGAGTTGGCACCCAGACCACTCCAATGGGTAGAAATGGTATGGGTGCCTGGAGTGTCCCTTTAAGTAGGTGAGCAATCATTTTGCATATTTTTAAATCACATTAAGGTTAATACACTCGAAGTATTTGCTTCATTTTGTATCTCCTTTTCTGAGTTTCTTGGGTTCATATGCAGAAGAGGTCCGGTGCCTGAATATATCCCCACTGATGAGATTTGAGCCTATCCTTGTAGGACTCTGCTCCATGTCAGTGTTTTATACACACCTTAAACCACTCCAATTATCTCAAACATATTGCACTATATTTTGTCACTTTATCTTGTTTCTTCAACATCCAGATTTCCCCTTTAATAAAAGGGGTAAGTGTTTATTCAAGTATTAGCGCTCCACTGGGTTTACTTAGAGTGTATTCCACCTAGCTCACTTTTGTTCTGCATGATTGTGTGTTAAGTTAGAGATCTTTACTCGTGTGTTGTAGTTGCTATTGCATTGTTATTAATTTTATTAACAATTAAAGACGCAACCTTCTCTCTGCCTAAAAAGAGTTTCAGACCCTTTGACTGTTGACAGTGAAATTAAAATGGCTGCATGTGCGTTCATTAGCAGGAGAGTTGGTTAAAGCTGGATCTTTAAATAAGTTCAGATAATATAATACCACTAAATCACTTAATTAAAGAGCCAGCAATGTCTATCCAATAATCGATGGACTGAGAGGACCCTTTAACCCCTTAAGGACCAAACTTCTGGAATAAAATGGAATCATGACATGTCACACATGTCATGTGTCCTTAAGGGGTTAAAGGACCACTATAGTGCCAGGAAAATATACTCGTTTTCCTGGCACTATAGTGCCCTGAGGGTGCCCCCACCCTCAGGGTCCCACTCCCGTGGCGCTGAAGGGGGAGGAAGGGGTTAATCCCTTACCTTTTTCCCAGCGCCGGGCTCCCTCGGCGCTGGGACTCTCCTCCCTCTTCTTCCGTCATCGGCTGAATGCGCATGCTCAGCAAGAGCCGTGGACGCTGGCATCTTCTCACTGTGAAAATCACAGTGAGAAGCGCGGAAGCGCCTCTAGCGGCTGTCAATGAGACAGCCACTAGAGGCTGGATTAACGCATAGGTAAACATAGCAGTTTCTCTGAAACTGCTATGTTTACTGCAAAAAGGGTTAAACCTAGCTGGACCTGGCACCCAGACCACTTCATTAAGCTGAAGTGGTCTGGGTGCCAATAGTGGTCCTTTAATTGCACAGTGCACCTTGTTTTTCTACTTATTGTACTAAGTGTGCCCATGTTCAAGCTTACATTATGAAATAAATTGTCAACGTTTTGAAAGACTGCTTATTCTGTGTTCTGCAGGCAGATGGCGAGATATATTGTGTGGTTCGTGATTATAACCGGATGTATTGCGCAAGAAGGTGAGTAAAACAACTGATCACATAGGTATTTTCCTGCTGGACTTAATTAATTATTAACATTAATTAAATCATTCTGGCAGTGTAACCTGATAATTACCCTATTGTTAAGATGTTGTTTATATCAGCAGCAGTAGGTGAAGTATCGCATTCCCATAAACCTCTGCTATTTGACGCTCTCTTCAGTCTGGCGCAGTACCTCCCATGGCCACTAGCTTGCTGTGATGCTGTTGTAGGCCTTGCAGTTAGACTGAAGAGATGTGATTCTGCTCTCAGCTGGTACCTTCCTGACTGGTCAGCTCTTCTTCTACAGACCCCAGCTGGACCTCATGTCTATTGCCAGAATATGTAATGGCTGTTTGTCACTAACTTCCCTTCTTACCTAGAGACTGCTACAGCCCTGTGAATGGACCAGAGTAGTGACTATGGTGTCCTTCCACTCATGGGTGTGGGAACAGGGTGTGATGAGGGTGCAAATTCCCGCAGAACATTTTCTGTATCTTCTAAGATCATACGTATCACTGCTTTAGAAGGGTGTCCCATTCTACTGACAGACTCTCTAATGATAATATATTTTTTTATGCAGAAAACCGTATACACCCTAAGTAGGCTGGGCTTACCATAAGAAGATGCTTCCAGTGTAAGTTGTCAAACCATGTAAGAATGGAGTCTGCCGGGCACTCACTGGGCAACCTCCAGCCCCGAGCTAAGGCCAGTCGTGCCAGCTGATGCCCTCACTGAGCAGTGCACTCCAGGGATTAGTCCATGGGAGCTAATGGAAACTTTTCTATGTAGGGTTTATCTGAAGCGAAGGCAGAGATGGGTACAGGAGGAACCCCAGTAAGTTGTCAAAACACTTTAAGGGACGAAACCTGTTAATTTGTCCTGGTCCTTTTAGAATCTAGGAACTGCGCTGAATGGAATTACTTTATTCTTCATACAACAAATATGTCAAGGAAAATGTACAACATGAAATGTGGTATAGAAAGGAGATTGGACTCAATGTATCGCTGTTTGATAAGTTTGAGTTTCAGTGAGTGAGTTTCTGTAGGAAATCAGATATAGAAATACATTTATTACTCTTGTAAAAAATAGTTTTATTGTTTTTAAAATGACTGTGGTTGAAATGGATGAATGCAAGGTTTAACCAGTATATTTATTGATGGTGCATGCGCGGTGCATTGAAATCAACATTTTCCTATGAGCTGCAGAGTCCCGTGACCATTGAGGTGAAATGGTTTAAGGGAATTTAGTACCTTTAATACCATTTAATATCTACAGAAATTCTCAAATTCAGAGAAATTGAGGAGCACTTCATGAAACCGTTAGGATAAGGTTTAGCAGGTGTTATCTACGGGGAACCACCAGCATAAACAGCAAATCATGCAACGTCAAAGAGAAACAACAACTAAATAGGAACAAATAATACAGAAATCCATGCACATTCATTATATAGACATTAGTCCTATAAATAATTACTATTATTCAAATCTGTGTTTAGAGAATGTACATGATCGTACGTTACAGCATGTTTTAATATTTTCTATCAAGTCAACCTCTGTAAGTAGAAATCTAGAGATTGGATATTAAAACATTTCTTTATTTCATTGTTTTCTTCTTTAGATATGGACAGAAAGGTTTTCTTGTTTCCTAAAGAAACTGCCACATCATACATCACTCTGAAACCGGAGCAATCAGAACCGCTAAAGAAATTTACTGTGTGCCTTCAATCCTACACTCAACTCACCCGAGAGCATTCTCTCTTCTCTATGGCAAACTCTGGCACAGAAAGTGACAACACTTTTCTAATTTACCTTAAGCCACCAAACTACTGCATGGTTTATATCAACCAGGAAGAAATTCGATTCAGGATCGACTCAGAGGTTCTCGAATTGAAACACACATGTGCGAGCTGGGACTCTGATACGGGGGTGGTCCAGCTTTGGATCAATGGAAAGGCCTACCCTAGAAGAGTTTCAAATAAAGGATTTACCATTCTTGCCCCATACAGTATTATCTTGGGACAGGAGCAGGATTCCTATGGGGGTGGTTTTGATGCCAAACAGTCTTTTGTGGGTGAAATAAGTGATGTCCACATGTGGGATTATGTATTGACTTTTGAAGATATAAATAATGTTCTGTCCAATGTCAAGAATGGTAATGTGGTCAGTTGGAAATCTCTATGGTATGAGAGTAAAGGGGAGGTATTTGTCCAACCCAAACTTCAGTGCACGTCCTGGGGTTACTCAACCAGGCAGTATTACCCATGCTCGTAAAACAAGCACTGTCCAAATGATCTGTAATCAATTACTATTTAATAACAGGGATATTAGAGCTCTTGCCTGCCTTTGCCTTTATTCATGACATTTTCTCCAAAGAAATGATGCTGTCTTAGATTGTTAAGTTAAAGGTATTCTTGCTTTCTGCAAAGTGATTCTGGTATTGATTGAAACCTATGGACTCTCTATGTATCATTGTGTGTCATTACATATCCCTCTGTCTTCAAGACTTCATATGATTTTTGATATATTCATGAAATGCTCTGAATAAAAAGCTAAGAAATGTAAATAAATAAATAAATAAATACCTAATTCAATGCCTCACTAGTGATGTCGCGAACCCGAAATTTTCGGTTCGCGAACGGCGAACGCGAACTTCCGCAAATGTTCGCGAACCGGCGAACCGCCCGAAACGCCATTGACTTCAATGGGGAGGCGAATTTTAAAACACACAGGGACTCTTTCTGGCCACAATAGGGATGGAAAAGTTGTTTCAAGGGGACTAACACCTGGACTGTGGCATGCCGGAGGGGGATCCATGGCAAAACTCCCATGGAAAATTACACAGTTGATACAGAGTCTGCTTTTAATCCATAAAGGGCAGAAATCACCTAACATTCCTAAATCACAATCAATATGGATTGACACCTGACATATGACATGTTGACACCTTGACATATGGATTGATACCTGTCCTCAGAGCCCCTGATGCACACGGACACAGAGCAGAATAGAGACTGGTCCCCCTACATAGGGTCACTTGGCAGATATGGATTGACACCTGTCCTAAGGATCCCTGATACACACTGACACAGAGCAGAATAGGGACTGTTCCCCCTACATCGGGTCACTTGGCAGATATGGATTGACACCTTGTTACAAACTGCTATTTGTAACGGGCCCTTTAAATGGCAAATTGCCCTGTTTCCTGGGTTGTGGAGAAGCCTCTTTGCCAGCCTCCTCCCGCATGACTATGGCCCCTGGGAGATTGTGAAAATGTATGCACTTTTATTTGGTGTGTATGGCCCTTTAAGACTGTCGGTGGGCATATTGGGGCTTATGGACTCTTTATGTGACTGGTGCTGGCCCTTTAAACACTTTTGGGACATCAGGAAGATTGGGACACTGCCCCTTTAAGGCCGTGTCCCCAGACTTGTTGGGGACACGGCCCCTTTAAGACGGTGTCCCCTGTGTCCCCAGACCTGGTGCAAACCCTTTGTGCCTGCCTTGCTATTTCCCACTTGGTTCAGTAAATGGGAAATTATTTCAGCTGCAGAGACTAAGTCCCATTCGGCGATGGGACTTAGTCTTTTTTTCAGCCGTTTTTTTCACCCTTATTTCAGCTGCAGAGACTAAGTCCCATTCGGCGATGGGACTTAGTCTTTTT